GCATTATCGGTCACCGATGCTGTAACCCTACTTTGTACATTTCCTCTAGGCTTTCAAAGGTGGGTGCTCATAATTTCTTATTTCTACTTGTATACCTGCATTTTCTCACCCCTCCTTAGAAGCGCTAAATATCTTGCTGACCATAAAGTCAAACTACACTAGTGTCTTATGGTGAAAGTGATTCAAATATTGTATTTTGGCTTGTTAGGTGTAAGGGATTCCTCGAGGCCTGTTTAAAGCCTTGGTTCAAAAGTTTTCGCCTCGGAATATCCTACTACACAGCTTACGTGCAATTTCCCGTCTCTAATGCCTCCGAAACGGCCAGCATTTTTCTCACTCTCCTACTGTCCATTGAACGCTACGTAGCGATGCACAAGATAAGCTGTCCAAGAATGTGGCGACCGAAATGCAGCGTTCATAATTTACTCTGCTACCAAACCAAATCGCATCACTACAATTTGAAGTGTCACCTGTCGTGTTGCAGTGGGTGTCGCCACAGCTTCAAGTCTATTGTTCCCTCCCTTCAACGCCTATTTTCATTATTCAACGACAATGTCCTCGAGACCATAATCAAGGTGATTGTAATGAGCCTTATCATCAACATTCCAATGTTTTTTCGGCCAACGGATAACTATGAAGTATCCAGCCGATAATACAACAACCACTCCTCACAAAGAGGACAGTTTTAATGTAAAGTGGCGTGTAGATGTGACAGATTTTGGTAAATCTCATACCTACGCTGTATATACATGGCTACGTACTATCTTCGTGCATATAATACCTCTTCTCCTCCTCTGTGTTATCAACTTCTATCTTATTAAGTTCATCAGAATTGCAAATTCACGATGGCGAGGATCACAAAAGACACACAAAACTAAAAAGCATTCATCCGACTTAATGACTGAGACTGGGGACAGTGCTCGTGACAAAGAGGAAGAGGCGATCACAAGTGCTGCAACACTTGCTGCAAATCGTCGTAATGAAAGACGCCAAGCAGCACAACGCAAACTCACTGTTCTTTTGGTGGCAATAGTTGGACTATTTCTTGCTGGTCAAATACCTCAAGCCTTTGCCTATGTGTCAAATGTGCAGGTTGTCCTACGACTCTTCGGACGGTCATCGAGATCACTTGCGTGTTGTCCACCCTATCGCTTGTATCGTGCCATTACAAATTGCATTTGCCTTATTACCTATTCAGCAAATTTCTTTCTCTACGCTTCTCTTAATAGTCACTTCAAACACCAACTTGGTAAGTGGATTGGAATGTGTAATTTGCGTCCACAACAGCCTATTCAAACGCACACCATGACAGCGATGGAAAGTGACAAATATGACACAGTAGAAAGAGTTAATTACCGTTCTCGAGTGAAAGAAACTGTGTCGGCTGATGGGTACCAAGTGAAGGGAAGAAGAGGACCTCGAAAGTTGACTCTCAATTCCATTAGTCATGAGATGCCCATCACCGATCCTGTTGGCATTTCTGAGGCCGGTGATCGTGCTTCTTTTGTCTCCTATTCTGATCATGTTTGGCGTGTGAGTGTTGCAATTCTACCTCTAGCAGGTGGCAGACCAGTGGCTCTTGCTAATGCCACACTGAGAAGATCGGTGACCACTGTGCCATCGCGTGCAACATCACCGCGTGAATCTGTAAAAACGTCACAACAGGCCTCCAGTGTGCCAACAAATCACAGAAGTGTTTCCAGTGAACTCATTGTTCCAAATTCTTCAAGTGACTCGCAACCCTCCACCACCCTTCATTCAGTCCCTGTTAGACGGACTAACCAATCACTCTTCAACTCGCAACCCCTTTTGAAGCAGGCGAAAGAGGACTTATCCACCACACCGAATGAAAAGATTCTTGTTCGTGTGCACAGTCATTCAAAGCGTTTTTGGTCAAAACGACGACGTCTATTGGCTGAGACGAGAAAAGGTGGAAGTTCTAAGAAGACTGATCATCCAATTGGTGGCCAAAGTCTGAATGAGAATCGTTTTCAACTGAATGTCACCTCACAACGCTTTCAAGGTGTTGGTCATCATTGCAGAGATCGAAGTCACCTTCAACTCTTTCTTCCTTCCTGCCTTGCCAATGTGTCTTGGTGTCCGCCTTTTGTTGTGGCAACTTTGTTACGCGCTAACAGGAGCCTTAAAGACGCCACCAATTCGTCTGTACGCAACACCATCCCCATCGCCTACCAAGAAACCCATTTAGATAATATTTTGTAAACATCTACAAAGAGCTTTTTTCTAGCCATCAGTAACGATAACACATTTTTCCATGATTTTTGCCCTTTTTTGTTAAATGAGAGCGAATTTTAAAAATGTAAGTGGGATTTACCTCCCGAGTTGGTTGGATGGACGGTAGATGGAAAAACGTGGTCTACTTAAATGCCAGTTATCAGTAGTATGCATAAATACAAAAAAATGTGTGACTGTGTCCACAGGATCTTGCATTACCCTTGAAGCGCTGTTGTTGTGGCATGCAAGTGAGGCAGCAGTAGTTGACTTTTCTTGTTAATCCAAATGCTAGGCGGTCTGTGCTGTGGCTGCCTCCGCGCCAGGTCCTTTCCCCAATCAACCACCCAAGGAACAC